GGGGGGAGAGGAGGGGGCACGAATGGAGGGCGTCTGCGTGCACGGAGTACGAAACAAGAGACTGCAAAGGAAGGCGGGACAAAAGGTTTAAAACAAAAGTGAGAAAAAGAATAGAGGCTGAACCTAATTTAGCAAGGCTCCTGGGCTCAGAAAGGAAATCAGGATCTCATACGTAAACCTCAGCACCTCTTCGACGTCAGACGTTAGTGACTGAAAACTTATCCACAGGTCCTGTACTCGAAGCTCATGGTTTACGCAGAAAATTCAGAGGAAATTGGAAACAGAAAATAGGACCATAGAAAGTTAAAACAAAGAAGAGAGGTGATAGTGGGGCTCAGTTAATCCACACCTCACAACGTGCGACAAAATGAGAGCCTGGTGCCTGGCTTCTGGCTCTCGTGGGCAGAATAGCTGGAAATGGTAACCGCCAAGCCACCCAAGTGAGACTGCTATCCAAAGAGCTACACCCGATTTTATTTATTTGTTTGTTTATTATTTAATATATCGCTATGTAGTTCAGGCTGGCCTTGAGCTCACTATGTGATCCAAGCTGGCCTGGAACTCCTGGCAATTCTCCTGCCTCAGCCTCCCAAGTGCTGGGATTACAGGCGTGCGCCACCACACCAGGCTACTACACGGGAATTTTAAGCCTCACGTGAAGGCTTCTCTCAGGCGATTGTGAACAATAATATGTTTATTGTTTGTATTACGCCTGGAAGTCAGAGTAAGGAAGTTGACCAATGAGCAGATGTTTAGAGTTTCTTTGTCCCTATAGTATCTTTCTCATTTTAGTTCACATCTTTCAAATATTTTTCTTTTACAAATTTCTTCAGGCAAGACCATAATAATAACTGACATTATGGGGTATTTGTCATGTACCAAGGGTGATATCAAGAGCTTTTCATGCTCACAAGAACAGGTACCATTATTTTCCCCTTTTGACAGATTAAAAACTAAGGTCATAAAAAATTAAGAATAACTTGATAAGTGACAGAACTGAGATTTAAGCTCAAATCTGAGACAGGAGTGGTGGTGCATGCCCAGAATCTTAGCACTCGGGAGGCTGAGGCAGGAGTTCCAAGGCAGCATGGACTATATGGCAAGACTCTGTCTCAAATAAAAAATAAAATAAACTCAGGTATGTCGTCAGAACCCAGGCTCTCCACTTTAATATAGCAATGCCTCTGTTAACTTCAGAAACTTCCTTACTTAAAATAGAAATAATATAAGAATCATGTAAATGCATCCCAAAATGTGAACTTTTTTCACATTTAGATCTCAGGAGAGTGGTCCCTTGAAGCCAAACAAGCGGAGTTATAGCTTAAAAATTCTTACTTGGAAGGAATATGCCTTCTCCAATAAAATGAATGGTATGTGTAGCTGTGGCCTCTACTTATTCCCCATAAGCAAATCACTCTTAGGTTTTCTACAGGACAGCTTTTGCCCTCTCAACCACTGCCACCACCAGCTGATCCCATGACCACCTAGGTAAACTTTGTTTTGTTTTGTTTTTTTGAGAAAGGGTCTCACTATGTAGTTGTGATTGACCTAGAACTCATTGTGTAGCCCAGGCTGGTCTCACAGCGATCCTCCTGCCTCAGCCTCCCAAGTGCTGGGATTACAGGCATGTGCCACCATGCCCAGCTCCACCTAGGTAAACTTTGTTCAAATGAGCTTTGTTTTGAAATGGCTGATTTTAAAAAGTTCTATAATAAATTAATAAAAGTAGCATTTGTGGAAGCAACATTATAAACATATACCACATAAGATATTTTCGGTTTGGTTGCTTTCTTAGAGTTCACTTTCAACATTTTCCAAATCTATTATGTAAAAGAAAAAAACTTATCCTCCCAAAGTTGGTCATTTTCCTTATAAATTCTCCAGTATCATTTGTAGTCTCTACCACAAAGACAAGTGTTTGACTAAAACATACTCAGTCTTGTATTAAGCTTGAATTCTGATCCCTCTCAAATACAAACTACTCAAGAGAATAGAATCAAATCTAATCACTGAAAAGAAACTTAGAAGTTCATTCCATAATATTTATTATAGACAGTTTTTTAGTCTTTGTTAGAATACTTCTAGTATAGGTATACAGCACAAGTCAGCTCACTGTACTGTTAGACAACTCTGTTAGAAAGTTCTAATGTATATTGAACCAAAGTATGCCTTCTACTAATCCCAGAATGACAACTGGTTTAAATGAAAAGAACACTGTACTTGGAGGAAGAACGACTTTTTCTTTAATTAAGGTGAACTTGACATGACATAAAGTTAACCATTTTAAAGTGGACAATTTACTTGACAACATTTGCCACCATTTTCACCATTCAAGATTTTCCAACCCCATGTCTATTAAGCAACTGCTCCCTATTCCTCCCTCCCCTGAACTGCTGGCAACTACCAATCTGCTTTCTGTCTATGGATTTACCTGTTCTGAAAGTCTCATACAAATGGAATCATACAGCATGCAAACTTTTGTGTCTGGCTTCTCTTATTTAGTATGTATTTGAGGTTCATCTAAATTGTAGCAAGTGTCAGTACTTCATTACTTTTTATGGCTAAATAACATCTCATTGCATTTACACAGCACAATTTCTTCATCCGTTCACCCACTGATAAACATCTGGGTTATTTCCAATTTTAGGTTCTTGTGAATAGTTCTGCTATGAATTCAGACATTCCTTGTTTAATGACTGAGCTCCATACCTGTGACTAGGTCATTAAATGACTTGGTCACCAAGTGAGGAATTGTATATCATAAGTACATTACAGTATTCAGAACAAAGAAATGGTCCAAGAAAACTGCAACTTGATGAATTTGCTTTTATTTGCATAACTCTTAAATGCAGTACTGTAATGTATAACAGAACATAAAGCTACAGTACTATACTGTACAGCATAATCAGTAAAAATTATAGCTATAAACAAGTTATACAAAGAAAGACATGAAGGCTCTATAAACAAGACATACTGGCCTGTACACAAAGAAAAGTATCATAAGTTGAAACAGTTGTTAAGCAGGTAGATCAGCCAGGTGTGGTGTCGCATGTCTATAAACCCACCCCTTGGGAGGCTGAGGCAGGATGATTGCCATGAGTTCAAGACCAGCTTGAGCTACATAGTGAGTTCAAGACCAGCCTGAACTACATAGTAAGACTCTATCTCAAAAAACCAAAAATAAATAAAAAAATAAACCAGATTGGTCATTAAATAAGGAATATACAAGCACTTGATTACCAGTGTTATGTTCTTGGATTTATGTATACTTAGCGGTGAAATTGCCAGAAAACATATTTGAAGCCAAAATTTCTTCACTTTCTAGCCATGTGACTTTCTATAAAATGCTTATTTTTTCGCACTGTCAGTTTCCTTATCTGAAGATTAAATATTCTAAAACTTCTGGCAGAGTAAAGAGCTTAGCATATACTTAGTAAATATTAATTGCCTTCTTTTCTTTTCTCCCCTTAATAGTCCTTCCATATATCATCCATCCCAACAATGTTTTCTTCCACAGCCTTGCTATCCCCTTAACGTGTCTTCATAGTATATATTTTCCAGACCTCCCACCATCTTAGTTACCCTGCTCCCAGATGTCAGGGGGCAAAAACTTTCTCTCTAACCATCTTAGGGCCTATGGCTAAAGGGGAGAGTACCTGTGACTCACACTTTGGATAAGAACAGATCAACAGGAGAAAAGGCACAATTTTCACTTATATTTACATGTACAGGCATTCATAGCAAAGTGAAACTCAAAGAAGTGGATAGAATCAAGGGATTAAATACCATTTCTGTTAGACGTCTATCACTGTAACAAAATAGCTGACAAAAACAACTCACAGGGAGGAAACATTTATTTTGGCTCATAATTTCAGAGGTTTCAGTCAATGGTCTCTTGTTTTTAGGCCTGTAGTGAAGCAGTGTATCACAGCAGAAGCACATGGCAGAGGAAAGCTGCTTACCTCATGCTGTCCAGGAAGCAAAGAGAGCACTCACTTTTATAACAAAACCCACTAAGTTTTGAATCTATAAATGGATTCATCCATTCGTGAGGTCAGAGCCCTCATGATTCAATCACTTCCCAAAGACCCCACCTTTGAACAAACTGCATTGGGGACCAAGCCCTCAACACATGACCTTTTAGATCCAAATCATAATACCCTTTTAAGAAAGAAAAGAGGTTTTCAGCTTCAAGGAATGAAAAATTGTGAGGAAGTGAAGGGGAAATATACGGGGAGGAGCTAATGGAAGATAAGGGCCATTTAAGTATGAAATGTTTATGCAAATTTATTGTCATGTCCACTCCCCATCTTCCATGGTAAGAGTTGCTCTCTTTTTCCTGGTATGAGGAGGGAGGGCTTCCTCAAAGAGAAATTTATGCCCTGTCATTTTCTTAAACATGCAAGAGAAGAGTAGGGAACTTTCTGCTTCTATTG